CCCCCTCCCCGTGGCTCGATCTCATCACGTACCTGCCTGCACACTTCCCATCTCCCAAGTCGGGGGCGGAAGCAGGAGTGAGGGCTCATCACTTAAACACCCCGTTTAAAACAAACAAAAAGACCGGTCTTGATGTCTGCCCCTCTCCCTGCCCCTCTGCCACTTCTCTTCCCTTCCAGCAGCCACACATCTTGAAAGAGCTCGTCACTTCTGTCTTGTCACTTCGTTCTCCCCGTCGACCTTCCACGGAAGCTGCTCTTGCTTCCCAATATCCCCAACTATCTGTGCTGAACGGCCTCCCTTCCTCCGTATGTCCGATATGTTATCCTTTAGGTCCCCGCCCCTATTGGGGTTTCTCCAGGATTTCAGGGACCCCCCCGCCAAATTTAAAAACCGTCTGAGGTTGAAAAACACGATCAGAAATCCTCTAGATGATTTGTCCCGGTAAATAAACTTTGGAGACTCCCTGATTGATGTTTGGTTTCTTTTTGGTCCTTCACCCAATACCTAGTCTACAGTCTCCATAAGATTACGTATCAGAGCAAGAGAAAAAAAAATCTTAACAGCCTCCTCTACAAATAGTGGTAAGCTATAACCTTCATATTGAGCAGGTAATCTGAACTTGTCTCATCTGTCAGAAACACAATTCTGATCAATACATCAAGTGAGGCAAAGACAACTGCCAACTCATATAAACCAGTGAAATTTTCTATTTCTGTGTACATACCTGACTCATGGCTGGAAATGTAGAATTGAAGCTGTAAGTTCTCTATTCGATTTTGTCTGTTTACGTATATATGCATGTTATGTGTGTAATATTTTCTTACCTCTTGATAGTATTACCAAATTAACCTTCAAAATCTCTTATTCTCTGTTCCAAATACTTAGTGATAAATAAGCACTTATCTAAGTTAAATATTCCCCAAACTCTCATAAGTTAAAGAGGTAATTTCTAATACTTTGAATGTAAAAAAGAAAAAAAGTATTCTTATAAAAACTAACCCAAGTGTTTTAAAAATTTAAGTTCAAATGTTTAGGTAAATCTTTGCCAAACAAGACTAGTTTGATATTGTTAGATTAATTTTAAAAAATAAACAGCTATGTCTTGTTATAAACGTTACATCTAACACAAGCATATATTTTTATCCTACTTGGACATATTCTTCCTAAAACTAAAACACGTTTACCAGTTGACTAAGCTAGCATTACATCTACTAGATGTTTAAGATTATAAAAATATAAGTTTGCTTTTAACCAGAGTCATTCTGAAAACTTTATTTCCATGGTAATCATGTTTTATAATACATCAGCTTTAAGACAGCTTCCAAGATCTTTTTGGTAATTTTAAACCTTAGACTTATGCTAAATTTATAGATATTCGTTAAATAGATCATTTTTAAGCAATATAAAATACTGAAACATCAGTTACTAAGCCTAATTTTAAGATTATATACTTTTCATTTTTTGTGGCAGAAGAGAGGTGGTATTTGGATGTTAATGAATGTGTTCATTTTTCCATGCTGAAAACGATGTACTATGATAAAGTATGTAACTGAAATTTTATGGGCTATATATTCATAAGCTTTACTAGTGTACTACAAAATGCTGCACATGACAGACAGTTCAAAATTATCTACCTGCTAGTTTTTACTGTAAAACAGAAGTCATCTATACTTGATAATTATAATCAATATGTATAAATGAGACTACTAAAAGTAATAATGGCAAAGGGGAACAATTTTGCATGCAAGATATGCAAATATGTTTTTGTTAAGGAAAAAGAGAATGGCTTTGTTCTAAATTAAAAAAAACTAGTGGTTCCAAAAAATATTTAAGACATAATGTAAATGGATCTTTTAAAAATTATAAAAAGTTCGCAGAAGTTTTATTTGTCATGGTCAAAACTGACAATAATTTAATGAGAATATAAGATTTTCACCAAAGAGCTAGCAGGATGCCCTGACATCCCCACCTCACCTCTGCCTGTGACATACATGCTTGAGCCAAAGATAAACCCCAAAGGCCTAAAGAGTTTGTCCTCTGACTCTGGGAGCCCTGAGCTAGCTTTACCTCGGACTTCATCAGAGTCTTGTTCCACCGCATGTCTTCTATAGAATTATAGTAATAGAGCCTGTCCTCACCGAGTTTGTGAATAAAGCCAATTCTCTGCAAAGAGCAATTTGGAGGTCCCTCTGCAACACAGCGATAGTGGATAAATAAAGCTCCTTCACCCTAGGCCTCAGAACAGAGTCACTGCAATTACAGAAGTTGTAACCTATCTAACCCATTAAAGATAAACCTTAGTAAAATGTCACAGGAAGTTTTGCTGAGTAATGTAACAGCCCGGAGTTCTTCCAGGCCCTTACTGAATTGTCTGGATTTCAAGAGTTTAGAGATAGCAAGGTAATAGTTCTGGCTATAACTAGATCAAAGATCCAGTAGCCTAATACAGCTACTACCAATTCTCGACACAATCACACCCTCTACACGGAAGGGAACACCCCCCTTCCACTCTTGTACTCCCTCCAACAGACTCCTCCACAGTGAATAAATGTGCTTAAAGTTCACCTGTTCTTCATGCAGAAAAAAACAGAAACCTGAAATGCCCAGATTGCAACGTAACAGAGAGGAAGACAGTTTATGTTTTAGATGTAAAGTCTAATAACAAAAGTTAATGAGGAAGAATATGCGCTACTGTGTCTTATTAAGTGAAATCAAGCCAATAAAGCTGGTAAAGGTGAGCAAAGACCAGTTTTCTGAGCGTCTTTGAATAGTTAAAGTGGAAAGAGGTATTCTTCTGGGGCTGCTTATTTAGTTTGAAGTTTTTATAAAATGAGAGTCTAACATTTATATAGTGCTTTGTGCCAGGAAATGTTCTACATGCTTTACACATACGAACCCATTTAACCTTCGCAACAACCCTTTGTGACAGGAACTATTATTACCTCTATTCTAAAGGTGAGGAAACTGAAGCTCTGAGTTGACGAGTAAGATACCTAAGGCCTCAAGGCGCGTGACAGAGCTTAGATCTGATCTCAAACACAGGAGTCCGTGTTCTTAATCACTGGACCATATCACCTCTTCCTGTACGTGTGATGACGCACGTTAGAGCAGGGCAGAGTTCCTCAAGCATGGGACATTTCCACTGCTTTGCAGGATCTCCCCGCCCACCCCCATCACCATTCTTCACCCAGCTCTTGGTAACTAAGTCCGTCTCCACGGAACCCTAGAGCCGGCAGGACTGCCCGGCGGTCCCTCGTTCGTGGATGACCCAGCTGCCCTCCCCGCATGTCCACAGCTCCTGTCCCAGGCACGACCGACACCAGGGCACCCAGCTACCTTCCTCTCTCTGGCCTCCGCCTGGACTGCGGAGATGGTCAGAGGGGCCCGCTTCAACCCCAAAGCCAGCGAGACACCGGGTCCACGAGGCCAGCGGGGGAAGGGCAGC